TTTAAATATATCTGCTCTTTCCAGATGGCCACTAACAACCATTGTCCCAAAGAGAAGACCAAGGATTGGAAGATCAATAGCAGCATATGCTTGATCTGGAGTTGAGATTTGAAAAATGACCATAAGTATAGCCCCAAGGAGGGACCCTGCAGTCCTCCCAACAGCTGGGAAAACTGCCAAAACCCAGAAAATGGTAAAGGCAATTTATCCAAGAACCACTTCCACAGTAGCAACCATGGCCATCTTTTGCAACCTAGTAAGCCTCAACCTTCTACATATATATATATCTAAATCTTAAAGTTTTCAAAATATAATACATGAGAACTCCATAGCTGGTCCAGGTCAATTTTTCACAGTAATAAATTAAACGTCTTTAGATATAAAGCAGACCGATATCAAATCCGCAATAAGATTCAATCTCTGAGACTACTACACATTCAAGGAAATATTATGTAATTTAAGTACGCCATAAGAAATTAAATCAGAGAACAGCTACCAAACATATTGAGCGCAGTACAAAACAAATACTAACATGCATTTCAATTTTATTTTTCAACAGTTTACTTTGCTTTTAATGATAACAGGGAAAAATTCATGATGCAAAAAACCATGAAACTAATCAATCATGAGCCAGACCAACGTTCAGAATCCAAAATTATTCTCCATCTTCCTTTTTCTTCCAAAAAAACGTAGAAAAAAAGAAAGAAAAGGGGAAATAACCATTAGTGAGATTGAATTACACTGAACTAAAGCTTCAACAAATTTGTTTTTGCAATCAATGCAATACCTATTTATTAACACATCCGATAACTAAAATCCCAAAAGGCACAAGCCCAAATTCATAAATTCTCTTATATTATCATTCGAAGATATTGTCATTGAGCAAACCAAACAAAAGAAATCAATGATTTTTTCAACAACTATCCTTTCTTAAACTATATCAGAGATTTTCTCTAATTAAACTATATCTAACAAAAATGATCATTACCAAAAGGGAACACTTTTGTTGGTTATTTTTGTAAAATAGCAACTGTCCTAAATGCAAGAAGCCCCAAAGCATGGCCCATGGTTTACATTTTCGTTTTGCATGTTCATTTGTACACCTAAGCTAACCTATTGCTGCTATATTGATCAAATAAGATAAACAAACCAAAACAGCAAGTTTTATTGCAAGTATAGTGATATAAACAAACCATTTGGAAATTGAGAATAACAAGATTAGATGAAATAACAGTTTTTAATGATCAAATTAGATAAACATCACTTATGATAATAATAAAAAATATATATAAAAAAAAAAAATAAAAACAGATTCAACATCAGCAATCAATGTTCATAGTGCAAACCTTATCCCAGAGTCCTCTGCATCGAAAAAATTAGTGAACTTCGAACGGAGACAAGTGACCATTCCAATGATGTTTTGTTGAAGATTGAACTTCATGGATTTCTTTCTTTCACACAAAAATTTCACAAATTAACTATTGTGAATTTCAAAAAAAAATAAATAAATTATACCAAGTCCTTGTGGCAAATATCACACACAAGCACACATGCCTTGGTCATATTAGTCCGGATATCTTTCATTGTCAAATGGATTGTTTGGTACAAAGCTAGAGAGAGCAAATAAAGCAGACAAAAACAAGCATTTGGAAATCTTTTCTTGTGTTGGATTCAGAGTAATTGAAGATTTGAATGTGTATTTTCTCTCTTTAGAAAGTTTATATCGAACATGAATTGTAAGCAAATGGAGGAAAGTGAAGCCAGCTCTAGGGTTAGACACACGCCTTCGTGTTCCCAGCACTTTAGAGGGCTCACCGGTGTCCATTGAAGCCACAATCCCGATTTGCTGCTTCCATTGCTTTCTCCGGCAGCTCGAGCCTCCAATTGTCAATTCGAAATGCCAACTGCGTCTGTGCGTCATCGTCATCTTGCCCCCAATTGTAAAAATACAGTGTCAAATCCATGCTAGGGTTTCGCTCACGATCGATAATGGATGCTAGGGTTTCTCTCATACTTTGAAGTTTGTGAAGAAGACCGGAGCTCTCTGGTCGTGGACGAATGGATAGTTTAATTTATTATTGATACCCTTAATTTATTTCAATTAGTAAATAAAGCGTGAGTTTAATGTGGTTAATAAGCAACAAAATGTGGTAAAAGTTTTTACAATATAATTATTACTCTAGAGCCGTGCAAAAGGATTCTTCTGGTACAAAAATGACTTTTTACAACATTTTATACCAAAGCGCATTAAATTAGATGTTGTAAATGCTTATTTTTGTTGTAGTGATATTAATAATAGGTCATACAAAATACTGCAATATGTTTGATTCACATATAGCTATTATGTCTTTTGATGGCTCAGTTCTCCACTAAAGCAATCCAATGTCAGCTCATTTTCTATTGCCATTGTTTCATGATCAATACAATGTGATAATAGCCACACTTCGAACTATGATAATTTTTTGTTTTGCAATCAAAAAATCACTAATGAAATATTCAACATACCTAACTAAACAATAATAATAATTTTTTTAGGTAATATTGAAGACACATTCACCTAGTCACTCCGTACCCATTGAGACTTAAACTCTCAACTTCCTATAAAGTGATGGAATGTCATTAATACTTGGTTAAAAAGTAATTTTAATTAATTACTAAAAGCAATATGTAAAAACACTACTTTCTATACAAATATGAAAGCCATATGTTCATTAGAGGCAAGTAATTCAAACATATGACAGAAGCAGGAAAGGAGACAAGTTATATTCACCAAGATAACTTACTGATGAATAAGTCTTAAAAATGAAAATCTCATATATTCGTTTTAAAAATGCAAACATGTGGTGCTGTCCTCAAACAAATCCAAATTTTTTTTCCTAGGTAAATGTTGAAAAATTATATAAAAAAAGAAGGGAAAGTACAAGTGACTATCAAAGACATACCTGTACAAAACAGACAACACATACTTCAGGTGCATATGGCGTACATGCCTCAGACATCTCAAAAACTACGACCAAATTGTGAGTGTGGAAACCATGCTGGAAAGGCAATATATCCAATGCCACCTCTTTTCTTACTTGGTTTTTTGCAGTTGAATTGAGACACTCCGTAATAATCTCTCCAATCCTTCTCTTCATTAGCTTATCTTTAACACCAGCAAGCATGTTGCGGTAAAACATCTCCAGACGGATCAGCTTGCTGTGACGTGCTGACTCTAACATGTTGCCCAATTCTTTGACAGGGGTGAAAGTACCTGAGTTCTGCAATGAGATTGGAATGTCTCGTTCTTCGAAGGGTTTTCCAAAAGTTAAACCATGGAGTATGGTAGCATAGTGTTCAACACACGGAAAGTTTTGAATGGAGAAGAGTTATCTCCACCATTGCCATAGACAATCTTTTATCCATCTCTGTGATTCCTTCAGGATCCTTTTCTTCACCCTTTGTCTCCAGGAACAATTTCTTGGAGTGAAACAACACAATACTTGGAGTGAAACAATCAACCACCTTACCATTTCCCAGGACCCCACTCATTCCCCTGCCCCAAGACCAAAGCTTTTATCTATCCTCTCCAAGAAGAACAGTATGGGCAGCAGCCCATGCAACTTGAGTTGACCTTGGTAATTTAGGTCCATGCATTCTGTCACATGAAATTTAGAGAGGAGAAACTGCATTTCCAGCATCAGTTCGATAAGCCTAGCATCAGGCATAGGCCAAGGCCATTTTCCATCCCCCCAGGACCACACGTCTCCGTCTGAGGAAACGACACGTGTGAAATAAGCCAGCGTCGACAGATATCAGAGACACATTTTCTGTTAATTCTTTCACAGGTTCAGGTAACAAAGAACTTTTGGTGGTTCCATGACTAAGCTGCCCATTATCCCCAAGGCGAAATGTCCAGCAACCACTTCCCAATGTGTCACTTTGACTCTTTTTGTAAGCAAGTATAGCCGAATGAAACGCTCCACATGCAACCTCATAAGCTGTCCGAGGAGATTCCTGGTTAAAATGTTCAATGACTTCAGGATGTAACCTACTTGTCTTATCTCCCAAACCTTACTGTCATGATTCTTGTTACCCAAGCATAGCATACGAGATCACTGCCTTTATAGGTCTCTCCAGCACTAACCAAAGCTACAACATACTCATTTCCACATGCCACTTTAAACAACAGAGTGCCATGGAAATTCAAGACAGGCATTGGAGCAAACCTATCCTCACTAGAGCTGTTTCGCAGAGGGAAATTTCCCCACACATCTAGAGAGCCCCAAGATTATCGATAGCCAGTGACATCATTCCTCCAGCTTTGACTACAGGAACCTGGGCTAAAAGTTAATACATTTACTCAAAGATACTAATAAGACCTAGGCTTGGTAGCAGAAAAGGGTAGCAGAAAAAGTGAGGCAATTCTATTTGAAAACTAAAAGTAACATAATTTGTTCCATACCTTCAATGGTGATTTCCTCTTCCTTTCTGGCTCATCTGTCAAAGAATCCGCATTGACATACTTACTGATGACTCTAACAAGATGGGCACCAAAGATGGAGACTCTATCGATACCAAGTTGGCCATCCATATAACAGTAAAGGATGACCAGATAAATTATGATGCAATTTCGATAATCAGATTTAATTTTATTAGATGCATTAGAAGAATAAAATACATATATGTGGATTAATCCAAACTGATCCATTATCTGCCATTAGATGGGGGAAATAAAGGGAAACTAGTTTGTTTAAAAGCATCCACCAACAGCCAATTAATTGATAGCATATAGTCAAAGTGCATAAATAGTAAATACATACATGTGGATTAATTTACAAGCAAGAAAATGTGAGACCCACATGAAAGAAACATGATATCAGCAGTTCAACATAATGGAGATCAAGAAAACATGATTGATGATTGCTCACAGCTTCACAAATCATGGAACCATACAAGAATTCCAACCAGCCTCAAGGTACAATGATCTAACCCACAAATTTAAGTCCTAAATTCAGCCATCACCTCCACTCTAACCTACAAAGTTTGCTAATGTTCTCTTGCACTGTCATAGGGATCCATTTTCTCAGTCTTATGTCCAGCACAATGAACCTCAAGGTGCGGCATCCAAGCACCATATGTTGCAGATCATACACATTAAAGTTGTGACAAAAAGCCAACACAAGAGATTCCATAGACTGATGATTTGCCAAGGCACGAATTCCATCACCCGTTATTGATTCACAACCAGTCAGATCAATCGCCACCAAATTCAGGCAGTTCCGAGCAAGAGCAACGAGTGTAGCATTGGATATGTTAATCCACCACGATAACTGCAATCTCTTGAGAGTTTGAATTGCAGCAATCGCCACACCCCCTGTGTCAGTCACATTCCTTCCACAGTGTGCCATATTCAACTCCTCCAAACAACACATTTCCCTCAAATGCAATACCCCAAAATCTGTAATTCGATCACACTCTTCAAGAACCAATTTTCGCAGAGTCCTAGACAGAGACCCACTTGCCAACAAAGCCAAACCCCTATCTGTGATTAACCAACAACCTCCCAAATTCAGAACCTGCAATGAATTTGCATTCCCAATACCTTTAAGGGCTTCATCAGCAATCCTATTGCATCCACCCAAATCCAAACTCGTCAAATTTCGAGCCATATTAACAAGAGAAATGACTCCAAAATTCCCAACTTGGCATCTCCTCCTCAGATACACTTCAGCTAAATTGTGACACCCACTTGCTATCTCGCATAGACCATAACCATCAACATCGTCCAAACCTGGTATATCATCGAACCCTCGTGTTCTTTGGTAGTTGAGATTGAGAACTGCAATGTTGGGACAAGTTTTGGCGATGAATTTGATGTGGGCATTGGTGATCAATTTTGGTGATTCCAATGAGACTAAGTTTGGGAATCTCGGTAAGAAATTAGGAAGAAGATTGGGTTCCAAAACCCGTAAAGATGATCGGTGCAGACCCTCGACTCTGTACCATTGCTTGCAGACTTCGGAGAATGATTTTTTGTCCTTAGGGTTTTCAACCCATTTGAGAATCAAGCCAACTACATCATCACCCAATCTTTCCATGACCCAAATGTGTTCTCTGAGCAGGAAATTAAACCCTAATTTCTCTGTAACACTGAGCAAAAATAAAGCTTACGAGACACTAATACTAACCGTAGCGCAATGATAAAGAAAAACTCTTTGTTAATTCTAACAAGAAAACGAAAAAACGAAAAGTAGCAAGAGAGGTCTTGGAGATCAATTACCCAAGCCAAGGGCTTTGAGTTTGAGGTTTATATAAAGAGGAGTGAGAAATTTTACTGTATGTTATTTGGTGGTAGTGCTGGTTTTGTATATCCAAGAGCATATATTGATAGGTGTTTTTTAGTAATTCCACTTTAATAGTGCATTTTATGTAAAATATTATTTTTTAATACAATCATCTTTTTTTTTTCAATTATCATTCTCAGCATTTATATTTGTATCGTAATAGTAATATTAAATACATTTCAAGTGAAGTTGTAGATATTAGAAGGAAATTAAAATTAAGTCTAATTAAAAAGAAACAAAAATATAAAATATCTAGTCAAAAAAAGACAAAAAAAACAAAAAACAAAAAACAAATTTTTTATTATTTTTTTACCACTATTTGTGAATTAATTTTTTCATATAATATTTTTTTTTTCCTTTTCGGAAATTTATATATATATTATATATATATATATATATGTATATTATATATATTTGATTATATTATTATTAAAAATATATATATTTTTAGGGCAAATCATTTCAGCCTCCCCAATCGCCTCCATCTCTATTCTCATTCTCAACTTTGAGAACTTGCCCCCCCGCCCCCCCCCCCCTCCCTCTCTATGCAACTGCAAACTACAAAATCTACAAGAATCAGAAGTTCAATACCCATATATTTCAGTTTATCTATCTGTCTGCAAGAATCCAAAGTTCAAAACCTATTACCTATATCAAAACCTATATCGGCGTATCATTTCAGATTGTTCAAAAAATCAAAACCCATATCTTTCAGTTTCCATCGCCCGCTGTTCCAGTTCGGGTTTGCCGTTCGCAAGCTTCAAACGCTATCTCTCAACTCTCAAGCTTGCCCCCCTCTCTCTCTCTGTAACTGCTAACTTATATGTATGGGTTTTGTTTTAATTTTTTTTTTTCTAAATCAACTAATCGAGGTCTGTAATTCTTGATTTTGTGTATGCATATATATATATATATATATATATATATCAAGGTCTGTAATTCTTATTTTGTAATCAAAAGTTCAAAACCCATATATTTTTGTTAGATTTGGCACAAAAATATAGAAATAGCTATTGCTATTTGTTTTGCTAAATTTGGCACAAAAAATGACAAAGGTAAATTTTGGCAGCCAATATAGCAACCCATTGGAGAGCCCAATTTTAATCCACCTGCTATATTTTGAATTGGCAGCCCATATGGCAACCCCATTGGAGATGCTCTAATCTTACCTTTTTTGGAAGAATTTTTTTATGATGTTGTTGGTGTGCCAAAATGGAATGACAATGGAATGGAATGTCCCATTCTATTATTTAGTTGTAAATTTGAAATGTATAAGAATGGAATGATAACAACCATTCTACTATTTGGTTAGACCAATTTAAAATTTATTCAATTTGAATTTTCCAAAATATCCCACTTAGAAACAAATAAATTAAATTAACAAAATGACATTCTCTAATAAATTTTTAAAAATAAATTATGGTGGAGGTGGAAAGCGGTAGTGGTATTGGTGTAACGACCCTGGATTTTTCAACCCAGTGTGTCATGTGATGACCCGAACCGGATCCAAGATGCAGAAGCACAACAAAGATAAGTCCTTAGAGATGTACGTCATCCCTAGGGCACAAGAACGGACTCTCAAAGAGTTTCGAGACTCAACGGAAACAAAATGAAGAGAAGGGCATCAAAACCCTACAAGAGAAGAGCCACCCTAAGAGGAAGGAATTTAACTTTCAACAAGTCAAATTAGATCTAAAACATCCTAAAACATCCTTTGGTTACTTCACATGAAATCCCAAGGCCAAAGGAAGAGAAATCCCAGATGAACCATATCCCAGTTCAAACCAAAACCGACACCCTCTCACTAAAACAAATATATCCTGAGCTAGGAGAAAAATCTGAAACTGAAACTGGTACCATTGGAAATACAACGAAAAATTAATGAAGTTAGACTCAAGAATCACCTGATTCGGAGTCTGGACGGAAAAGATATCAAGTCCTGAAGTCGAAGAAAGGGAAACCCTATCCCGGTTCAAACCAAATCCTGACACTACTTCACTAAAATATTAATAACTTGAGTTACAAATAGAATCTGAAGCTCTAATTAATACCATTGGAAAGCTTATTTTGACGTGGTCAGTTTAGACTCAAGAATGGACCAATTCGGAGTTAAAACGAGTGAGATATGGCCCACCGAAAAAAAAAATGTCTGGAGCAGGAACAGTACTCGCGGGGGCCCGTCAAAAACCTGGGGGGCCCGCCAAATGATGCAGTAAGCCGCGGGCCTCGTTAAATGGCTGCGGGGGCCCGCCAAATGGGACAATGGCATGGGCTGGATCCTAAAAAAAATGCAGAAACGGTGTTTTTAGCAGATTTTTGAGTTTACAATGCGGTTTTCGAGGTCAAGATGACATTTTTCGGAAAAACACGAAGAAGAAACTCCCCCTAAAATCACATTTTCTATATGAGGAGTTGAGAACAGAATTTATTTCCCAAAGAAAATCCCCAAAATGCTCTTGAGCAAGATTTTTCAACAAAAGGGTGAAATGAATCCATAGGAGGTTTAAAACACAAACGAAAGGGTTTTTTCCAGAAACGATTAAGCACGCAGACGTAACTTATCTATTTGGACGTGCTACAATGATCCACGGCTTAAAAATACCACCAATACAAAATCCGACCCCACCCCCTCCCCCCCCACAGCCAAAATAACAAAAATAGAACTTGGAATGAAAACTTGAAATTCAAAATTATGAAATGGTTTCAAAATACCATTTAGCCATTGGCCACACTTCATACATGGTTAATGAGACCCTAAGGAAGAATCAAAATAGAATTTTCACACCTAATGCAAACATGGTGAGACAATAATTTAACATTTTTCAATAATTTCACAATATTTCATGAAGTCATAAATTTTATAGGATACAAAATACATGTCATTGGCCTTTGGCCTCATCTCATACATGTCAAATGAACACTTCCAAATGTACTTAGATACATATTACAAAAAGGGAAGCCATCCTAGCTTCTAAAATACCATACATCCATGGCATACAAAATATAACATCCAAAAGATAAAACATGCTAAACAAGTGCATGTCCATATACAAAAATGCTTCAAGCACTCATGAGACCCTATGGATGATGAGCATCCACAAATATCGTCTCCTTACTTGTAAAATAACCCACACAACTAGGGTGAGTAATCAAGTTACTTGTAGGATGGGGTGCATGCGCATACCTTATAATCTAAAGTATAATGTGAACCAAACATAGATCATCACAAGGGTGCATTCCACCTAACGTCTATGTTTTCAAGGTACTCTAAGGGATCATCTCAAGCTATACAAATATTTGAAATGACAACCACATAGCATCCAAGTATACATGAACAAGTACACTAACCACATTGAAACCAAAATCACCAAAACACAAGCTATAAGAAATCCATGATTTATGACTTGGAATATAATGCGAAATCAAATAATGGAAAGACTAGGATATGTGGCCATGAGACCATACAAGTTATTTTGGGTAATTACGACCCACAAGGTACTACCTAGTGCGCACTATGACTTAGGAAAATTCCTATCCTCCGTACTAGAGCCAAACCCTAGCCATCAACATCTTATATCCTTACAAGCTTCCAAAAATCAACAAGTTCATGACATTTATGCAATCTCAATGCATGAAACTACCTGCCAAGCACAAGTAGGGTAAAACCACACAACCCATGTCTTAAGGTTACATGTCTAAAGTGGCAAGTTAATGATATTACACATCATGTTATATCAATTTACATTCAATATAGGCCATAATTGCAAATCATGAAATATAGTAATCTACCTACAAATAATTATAAGTGCCACACACAAGATTTTCATACTAAGCTTTCAATGAAATCTATATTACTTAACATCATAAATGTAATCTCAAGATATCCATAATAAAACCTCAATGGAATCATAAGTATTAGGCAATTTATTAGACAATAGCCTACCTATACAATTTAATAGTCACATACATGCTTTAATCCACAAATCCTAAGTCAAGTATATAAAATCTTTATTTACATGCTAGTACAAGAATTTAAAAAGGCATGTAATTAATATATATTAAGCTCCAATATATATAAAACCTAAAGAGGATAAACATACAACCACCCCTACCTCAATAGAGAATTGAATCTCTATAATCTAAGTAACCAAGCTCAAAATGGAAAACAAGTTTAGGGTTAATGAAGAGGAGAGTGAGAGGAAACTTCTGTGTTCCAATGTTTTAAGTCTAGGGTGAATAGAAGGAAGCCAAAAATGAAGTCAAAGCTATTAACTAAACTTTTCTCCAATGGTGGCTAGGTTAGGGTTCTTGAAAACAGGTGAAAATGAAAATGATAAAGTGTAAAATGGTGAGTGGAAGGGCTTGAAATCCTCCACTCACTATGTTCTCTTACACTACCTCTCACACATACACAATGCAAGACTAAATGGTGAACCTACACTTGTCATGAATCTATGGTTCATTTCTAGGCTTAATCTCAAGCCTATACTTGTCACCATCCTATGTAAACTTCTAAGACTTAATATTGAATCTACATTTGTCAACCATCCATGCCAACAAGTGCACCAATCCTAGGCCAACAAGTGGGTGAATCTCCACCCTCCACATGTCATCATCCAAGGCATCAAAATGTTTCCACACAAATGTCAACAAGTGGACCAATGAGAGTGTGATACTTGTCACACTTTTCAAAAATTGCAAACAAGTCATTTTTGAAAATATCTTCCTAATTAAATTGCAAAGTGTTCCCTAAG